ACTAAGTGCGGATTTCAGCCGGGTGTTTCAGCGGACATGTCGTGTACTTCACACCACTCTCGAATAGTGACCAATGGTCTCTATCGATATCCATGTCACTCTTTGATGGGCCGACGAGGACTCGTCATGAGTTGTAGTCCACTAAATTCCGAATTGTGTGAGCCATTTATCGGGGACGGGACTTAACGGTAGCGTCCGAAAATTCCCGCCTTCATCCTCTTCAGTCTCAACTGAGAATCACAACACCACACAAACTCCATTTCCATGCAGTCCCGGAGGATTCCGGCCGATTTACTGTCCAGGGTGTACGAGTTGCTCAAGCGTCTCCTGGAAACTGGTCTGATCTGGTACTCCGACTCGGAGTGGGCATCGGCCATCGTCCTCGTGATGAAGATGAATGGTACCGATGTCCGCTTGCACATCGACTATCTGTTGGTGAACCAGCTGATCAAGCTGATGAATTACCCCTATCCCTCATCGACGAACCGATGAGCAACTTCGTCGCCACTATGTGGTCCATGACTCTGGACATGACAAGTGGGTTCAGGGAGGTTCCAATGACGGCCCGAGCTCAACTGATTTCGGCCTTCATTTGCCCGCTCGGGCACTTTCAGTGGAAGCGCATGCCAGTCGGCCTCAAGAACGTCCCTTTGATCTACCAACAGCTTCTGGACAACTGTCTCTGGGGTTTGTACGGCTACCCCTAGAAGAGGAACGGCTTATCGACCTGGAGGTGCTAGAGTTCTTGGGAATTTCTTCCGAGGGCTCGGGCGCTCCGGTATCCCAGGGCACAGATCCCCGGGGGGCGGTGGCTCCCAGGACCAGCACTGACACCGTGTTCCATCAGAACCGGGTTGCTCCGGAGCAGATGAGGCCTGAGCTGTCCAGGAGTTCGTACATCGACGACATCATCTACGGAGCTCCGTCCAGGGATGACCTGTGCCAAACGCTGAATGCTCTCCTGTACCAACTACGGTACTGGAACATCTCGGTTAGCCTCCCAAAGAGTGAGTTCGGGGCCACGAAATGCCAGTACCTCGTACACGACATCAGCTCATACGGAATCCGGACGTCCCCGAAGCTAGCGGAGAAGGTCCTCAACTTGCCGTTCCTGAAGACCCAGAAAGCAGTACGGTCCCTCCTCGGGAGCCTCAATTACTACGCCAAGCTTATCGAGGATCTACCCGCGCTTGCGGTCACTCTCTACGAAGAATCGGACGAGCAACTTCGTTCCGGACGAGACCTAGAGCCGCCCAAGCATGCGTTCAAGATACCCAAGGACCGGCTAGTGTTGACGCCATTGCTCCGGCACCCCGGGAGAAAGTATTTAATAATATTACATGCCAACCCCTGGCCAACAACGCGGTTTTAGGGCAGGATCACGACCATACTACCTGTGCGGTTCGTGGGCGAGTTCTTCAGGACGCCGAGCTTGGGTACCATTCCGCCGAAAATGAGGTGTTAGCGCTGCTCCGCGTCCCGAACACATGTCATTATTACCAGTTGTTCCGAAAAGAAGATTCGCGTGTACACCTGGTACTCGGTGGTGGCATGGCTGTTCAAGTCCAAGACAGTGGACGGAAGATGCCTCAAGTGGGCGCTCAATCGGTCTCCCTGGGCCCCTGACATTCGGCGACTCGAGAACGACGAAGATTGCTTGGCGGCAATCCTGGTGGCGGGTATCACCCCCGGGAACGCCTCGACAAGGTTGACGAGACCCTGGTTCCGGAAAAGGGTTCCTGGATCAAGACATCGCCAGCCAGTCGGGAAATGGTCTCTAGTGATCACATCGGACACATGTTGAGCTTCGACGGAGCCGCCAAGATAGATACAATTCTTGCATTCTCTGGAGCCTCCCGAGTTGGGAAATCGTCGCGGCCGCGGGACACTTTCTGGAGAAAGCCACCGTAAATGAGGCCGAATACTCTGGATTAGTCAAGGACATGCAACTCGCTCGAGACATGGGGGTCCAGGAACTGGTTGTGATCGGGGACTCCCGATTTGCAATACAGCAGCTCAAAGGCGTCATTGGCTGTACCCAGCCCCACCTGTTGAGGTTACTCCAGGAGGCTGAAGGACTCCAAGCTACGTTCAAGTTCCTACGCCTAGTGCACGTGAAAAGAGATTTAAACGCTGCAGCCGACTACATCTCCAAGCAAGTCATCCAGGACCAGTCATCATTGGAGGCCACAGACCCCAACGCAAGGTGCTCCAAGGCCTGAATCGGATCCACAAAAAACTGATAAAGGACCCGAGCCCCTGGGTACAGTCGCTGGTGGAGTGCGTGTTCCTAGCCACAGCTCGGAATATACCCGAGAGCTCCCCAAGAGGTTTAGTAGGCGACGTGTTCGCGATGACACGCTCGAAGTCCAAACAGGTCAAGGACACAGAGGAGTTGGTTCCAGGAACCGGAGCCGACGACTCCAGGTCCAATATCTACGGAACCAACGAATCGGGAACCGACGGTCCCGGAACCAATAACCTCGGAACCAACGAGTCGGGAACCGGTGGTACGGAGGACAAGCCTACTGCCGCTCCTTGGATCTCCGACTGCCAGGCCTCTGAAGAAGACCCTGAAGACGTTCGTAGAGAACAATGGAGGAGGATTTGCTCTCACCATACACACAACTCGTGGCTCGCGTCCTTGGTAAATTCCTCCGGCGTGAGACCGAGCAGTTGTCCCTGAGACAAAGGCCACACTTGGCCTAGATAGCGGGTCCGTTTGTATTGGACTCCCGGGACGCCCTGTTCTATGTGAGCCGGAACACATCGGAACGTCCCCGAGACGCCGCAGACCGTCTCCGCCTGGTAGTCCCCCGGGACCGCCAGGAATGTATTCTGAACCACTGTCACGCGGACTTCCAAGGTGCTCATCAGGGGATCATCCGGACCTACGAGAGACTGCCCAAGGAGTTCTACTGGATCGGCATGTTTAAGGACACCGAGCGATACGTCAAAGAGTGCGTTGCCTGTGTCATGGCTAAGGGACTACCCCTGAACCCGGGTCCGTCGCCCGGTAACGTGTTGGCTACGCGACCGTTCCAGGTTGCCTCCATTGACTTTGTGGTACCGCTACCTCGGTCAGCCCGGGGAAATACGACGCTGCTCCTGTTCCAGTGCGCGTTCTCGGGGTTCATCATGTGCAAAGCCATGGCGAGCACTGAAGGCCAAGCTGTGGCTGAAGCCTTCGAGGAGTGCGTGTTCCGAAGGTTCGGAGTCAGTGAGATGATCCATCTCGACCGAGACCCGCGCTTTAAGGTCGGGTATTCAAGCACTTCCGGGAGATGCTCGGGAGCCGGCAACGCGTGACTCTAGCCTACCGTCCCCAGGCGAATGGACAACAGGAGAGGTCCGTGCAAACGGTGGTCCGTAGTGTTAAAGCGTACGTACACACTGTGGATCAGAGTGACTGGGGCGAACTAGCCGAACACCTCTTTCGACTTCACCCGGCTCGACACACCATTCTACTTGGTGCACGGTTGGAACGCCCAAGGTACTGTCGAATCAATGATGGGAGACGTTCCCCGAGACGTACAGCTTCGGGACGCTCAGGAATGGCGCACGAAAGTGCACCGCCAGGTGGAATACACGAGAGCCTGGACCGGGGATCTCCAAGCGAAGGCAAAGAAGCGCCGAGTCGAGGACCATGACCGCAAGTGGAACTCACAGGTCGACTCAAGGAGGGTTTCGAGGTCGGGGGCTCGGTATGGCTGTACCTAGCCTGAGTCCGTCCCGGACTTACCAAGAAGCTCGCACATCTTTGGCACGGCCCGTTCCTGGCCCGGGATAAAGGTAGCGATTTCCGATACCGCCTGCAAGTCGAGGGTACGGAATACCGGTTTCACCCCTGGGTCAACGTTAGCAGGCTGAAGCCCCGAGCATAATATTCGGATAAGCCCTCGGGAACCATATACATCCCCGAGGACGATGAATTCGACGCTGCGTTGCTCCGTGAAGATAGTTGGTTCCGGGGAATACGAGGTCGAAGCAATACTCGACGTACGTTAGGTCACCTGAACTGGCACAACCCGGTGTGTCAAAGAGTAATTATTGAAATGGACAGGCTACGAGGCTCCAGACTGGGTTCCCAAAGGACGCCTCAACTAGGGGGCTGCTCTACGAGTTTGACCAAGGAGGGCGAGCTCGTGTGCGTTTCCAGGCCATGCAGTCTGGAGCCGATCTGCCGGATGAAGAAGTCCGGTAGATCCCTGGGGAGTGGTACCACCGTAGTGAACCCTGGAGTGTCCCACAGAGACACCATGTTCCCGGATGAGAGTACTCCCCCGAACATGAGTGAAATACATGTTTCCTTGGGTGTGGACCCAGGGCCACTGCTAAGTGCCCCTTGGCGCGTCCCCCAGAAGCATTATGTCCCCTGATGAGAACACTCTCCGGGACACAAGTGATTGCATCTTTGCGTGATATATTCATATTACCAAAGGAAAGACATGGAGACCTGAAGATAACAAGGCCAAGATGGAACAAACGCCAAGATGTATTAAAAAGATTAATGCCTCAGGGGCCTGGGAAAACACTCAGTCTGCGAACGCTGTCGGCAAGGCGTCAGAGAGAGGAATGAAGATGCGGTCATCAGGGTCGGAGATCACAGTTCCAAGTCTCCCGAGTCACACTCTCTTCCACGTGCGAGTCAGCCCCTGAAAGACCCTAATAGACTCGTGCAGGCTCGCGATGATCCAAGTCATGAAGCTAGTCGCGCAGAGGCGGAGTAGCGTTCCCGCGCGGCAAATGATCCAGACGACAGGCAGTGGAGTCCGGCGCCAGAGTCCTGGCTCGCACCGAAACCACTTATTTTCCCGCCGCGGGAGTCTGTCGATCTTAGCCCGTATCTTCTCCAGCGCGCGAAACCTGCTTCGCTGTCGGGAGGAACGCGCAGAGTATATTTGACGGAGCCAGTTGACGTCGTCCAACATCTGAAGACACAACAGACGCCGAAGGGCTTCCACTAAACATCCCGATGCAGACAAGTGTGAATCACGTATTCGTATTCGGTAACTTCCAGCACCATATTTTCAGTCTCTTTCAGCTCACATCGGTCTGGGTCCATGCGCCAAACCTCCAGCACGTCGAGCCGAACATCTTCGAGCTCGGAACGCATGGGGAGCAGCGCCCACCGTTCGGCGTCGGAGCGAGGTAGGTCAGCATCATCATCGATGGCTCGATAGAACTGGCCGTGTGGGTCCGTTAGGAGCTCGTAAACCCTGGGACGGATCTGCCGAAGTCCATCGTGGCTCATTCGGACGCCATTGTCTCCGGGAGCGCTGTCGATGCTCCCCCTGTCACCGTCTTCCTCCAAATCCCGACAAAGAATCGCATCCTCCAAGGTCGGCTGTGTCAGGACCCGGACTGCGACCGCCCATGTCCTAATCCTCGCCGATATCGAGCTCTCGAGGTGGAGGATCATGGGCGTGACCCTCGGAGTCATCAGGGAGGTCCGAGAATCGAATATGTTTGGGGAGCTTGGCAGTGTTGGAAGCAACTTGGTAGAACTTTAGGAGGTCCCAGAGCCGCCAGCCTTGCTCTCCTCACCAGACTCTGTCGGAGACAACATCGAGTGCCGTGGAGGCGATGGTGAAGTGCCCCAGAGTGGTGACGACGGTACCGGAGAGGGGAGTCCAGAATCAGTCGCACTCGAATGCTTTGGGACACCGCTTGCTGCAGACCCCGGAGGACCTGAGGGCTGCGTTGTCTTGTCAATCGCGGAACCGCTTGAGGAGCGGGAAGCACCTGCACCGGACGGGGTGGACCCTGGTTGGTCAGCCCCCGACGAGTCGCTTCTGTCTCCGGAGCCTGCTCCGTCAACGGATTCGGAGCCTCCACTCGCCGGCCCAGAGCTGCCATGGGGTAATGGGTCGGCGTCGGAATCGCAGAACTGTTCCGCCCCACAAACAATGAGATCGAGTAGGGGGCGGGACCTTACGTTGGAAGAACACGTTGATATGTTCCTAGAAGGCGGCACAGTCATCAGACCCCCCTGAAAAACGAAGTAGGAGACAAGAGGTTCAGGTTGAGCCAAGGCTCGCAGTCGATCGCGATCTGCCTGGAGCTCCTCATTTGCGACTTGCAATGCCTGGATCGAGTTCCGAAGGCCGGTGACTTCGGCATCGTGGTTGACCTTGGGGACAACATCGCTTGGACGTCCCGGCGGTCGAGCAGCCAACTCCGCATGGGCCGGGTCCCGCGCAACCTGGGCTTTCTGGTACTTCGCCGACACCTGGTCGAAAGAATCTCGAAGCTTGATAATCTCCGTCTTGGTCTACGTCAAGGACTGCCCCGAGGCGGCATAAGCTTCTTTCATCCTCCCTAGCCTCTCCTCCGCGACGCCCCACACCAGGTATTCGTGGCTCAGGACAATCCGAGTCCGTTTCACCAAGGCGCGTAGAGCCGTAGCAGCCGTGCGTCTGCCTCTCGGAGTGCGGCCTCCCATTCTCGATTCGTGTTGGCCAGTTGAGCCTGGGAACGTTGAAGAGTCGTTGTCAGGAGCGAGTTGGCCACGGCGCTGCCGGGGTCAGGAGTACAAACCCCAGCATCTCCACCTGGTCCAGAGCGAGACGGACTGCGTTCACCCTGTTCAGCACTCGACGCCCAAAGTCCAAAGCCCCGAATGCACCAATGAGGGTTCTAGCTTGTAGTTCCGTAGTCCGGTCACGCTACCCGGGAACCATCGACACCGGAGCCCCTTGCATGTCAGGCCGGACGAGCACATCGGTTGGAGATCGGTCATCCCCCGTGACCAACTGTGACAGCGTGTTGAGCTGGGTGGTCGAAAGAGAGGGTTCCCGAACTGCCACATGAACTAGCCCTTTGACGTCCCGTAGCTGCAGACCTTCCCGGTTCCCGGACGCCACGACTCGCACATCCTCGGCAGACGCCGGCAAGTAAAAAATGGCGGAGCGAGTGTGGTTGGCCCTAGCGCTGTGGCAAGAGTAACCGCCGCGGCGTCCCTAGTAGGGAGAGTAACCCTCGTGGGCTGGAAACCCAGACTCTCGTTTACCTGTGCCCACTTCCGCGACCGGGGAGTAACCCCTCGAAGTCAGTGGGTACTGAGGCCGCAGTATTGAACTTCAAAGCTGCTGTTCTGCCTCGGTCAGCGGTGGCAACATGGCAGCCGAACGAATCCCGAGCTCGATGAGTGCCCGAGGGCTTCCTCCAGCTGCGCATTCGTCGTGTCTGCCACCGAACTTATGGGGATGTCCCGAGGTGAAGACGGTGTAGACGAGTCGTTACCTGAAGCGGCACCACCAGGAGGCGAAGAGCAGGGAGCGGAAGACACACCTGTCGTCATGATGGATGTTGCGTTGGGAATTCTCGAGCGCGCGTGGAAAATTGAAGAATGACCCGAATAAGAGAAAGATAGGAAGCGCCAGGAACCGGGCGGAAGTGCTTCGCAGCTGACGGTCCTGGTGAGCAGCATGAAAACCGATGGTTACCGATCCCGGACTGGTAATGACCCAGAAGATGAGTGGTGTAGACCCAGGAATACCGGTTGCAGAACCGTCACCGATGAGCACCGGTATCTCCCCGGGAGGAAAACTGACGAGTCCCGCTTGCTAACCCGCAACTGAGGAACACCAGTATAGCTCAAGTGGTTCCAGAATCCCCAGGCCCAATGAATACCAGTCGGAGAAATAATGACAATACCACGAACTGACGAATGGGAGCGCGATAGAGGAGGAGGCTCGAAGGCACTACTCTGGCTGCTGATTCGGATGCCTCAGGATCACAGCAGCATACGTCGTTCAGCATGGGGCGGTTGGCCCGGGAGGGTTTCCCTGAAATCGACTTCGGATCCCCGATCGCCGATTCCCGAGATCCCCCACGAGCTCAAGCCAAGGGGACTTTGGTGCCCCGGTCGGGGGCCGCAATATTGACAAAGATACGACCCCCGAAGGTCCGACCTATAGTATTCCCAAATCGGACCATACTGAAACCTAGTAGTTTAGCAGATCCTAGGATCACCATATGTCTAAGTGTCGCGCCGGATACATACCGGCAGCCGACACTAAATTCAGTCCCACTTTTCCCTCCAAGCGCGCAGAGCTCGATTCCTCGGAATCCCAAGATCCACAAGACAGCAGGAAGAGCACACGGTTTGGGGACCCGTGGTCGAAGACTGTTCCCCAGGTAAGCCTATATCACATTTGCCGGGTGTTCCCAAGGAAACACCGGGCATTCCGTATCTGCCCATCCCGGAGCGCGGTCTAGCCGGCACGGAGCATGCACTTCATATTTCTAGGGTCTCGCCCATTGTTGACGGCTGTCGCCGGTGGAGTCTCTCTCCAAAAGAAACA